GGGGGGGCAAGGAGGTTTATACTGCTAAGGAGAGCAGTATGTGTGCTAGACAGGTGGAGGTCTGCTGCACGGTCAGTGGGCTAACTCCCTTAGTAGCTCCTGGGCCGGGGAATCGAACTCAGGCCACCACAATGAGAGTGCCGAGTCTTAACCCCTAGGCCAGCAGGGAGGCCCAAAGGGATCTTTGGCAAGACTGATACTTAAGCAGTAACAATGAGCTCAGTAAAGATGAGCTCAGGTTCCTTGCTAGAAACGGAACAGGTGTAATAGGTAACGCTGTGATAATAGGTGTAGAGGAAAAAATAATTACAAAATTACAACTAATTTTCAGCTTCTACCAAATTTCAGACCCTCTTAAGTATCTGCCATGCCCCACACAATCAAAATGCATAGAATTAGAGATCTTAGTTAACAAAATACCGCACTTTGTTCAAAAACTAGAAGCAATCTGTAATCCTATGGCCCCATTTTATGACTTAAAATGATGTATTTTCAAGGTCAGGATCTAGGTCATTGGTTACAAATTGGCATTTTACATGTTCTCACATTAATTTCTCAGTTTGTTATTTTCTCCAAGTTGGTTCATCTTACAAATCAAATGTTTGAGACCATGGAGAAGTACTCAGTTCACTTGGAAACAGGGCCACTGCCAATCCCCCAAGAGGTGGTATTGAACAGCCCATCATGGTTTCCAAGTATAATGCCAGGTGTGATCTCTTCGGGTAGATTATACTGTTTATAAAGAGGACTTACTGGAGGACACTGAGCCAGTTTATCAGCTGCGACCATCTGGACATTGAGGTGTTTAGCTTGAGATTTCCCTCGAGATTTTATTAACCTTTGTAAAACCTGTAAAAGATAAGGGTGTTTTTAGAAGGTCTGTCTGTACCATGCTTGTTGGTAAATAATAAAGCTTGTTATTTTTTTCTCAGGGGGCCTTTTATAATGTATATGCAAAATTAATGTTTTCTAAAAAAAAAACTTTCATGGTGTTTATTTAAGTTTGGAGGTTATCAAACTTTCATGGTCCCTTTATAAGTTTCTATGAGTATCTAATATACTGCTACATTAGCTCTTTTAAAACTTAACAGTATATGTGTATCATATTAACATAAGTTAGTTTTTGAAAATTGCTGTAGAAACTAGCTAGCTTTTTAGGAGTCAGCTAAAGTCTGTTAAATACATTTAACCTACAATGTTATTGTTTTGGTCTAAATACATGAGGAATACCCAGCCTCCTACAGATATGTAATTGAGAAAAAGAGGGATATTTTTCAGTCACCAGTCTTGAGTTAGTAGGGTAGGGGTCTAGGGTGCATTACTGAAAGAGATGGTAACTCTTGATAAAACCATACATTCCTGATGCGTGTCCTATCATGATTTCTCCTATGAAGAGCTATTTTGGGCTACTCTTCATTCTTCAAGGAGAGTTTTCTTGAATACCATGGGATCTTAGTTATGTGAAGGGGACACATTGGAGAAGACCTATTCTAGACATGTTAGAAAGAGTATCTGGACATTTCAGGGAGGCCTGTCCTCAGGTACCTACTCAATTTAGTATCAGTTCAAGATCTTAAATCACCTAAAGATCTTGCAAATTATTAACAGATTATAAAATGTAACTATTGGTGACAAAGTTCTTGAAAAACAGGCTGTTTTAATTTAGTTAAACATAAGTTTGCATTTTTTTCACAATCTTTAACATTTAGTAGGACTTAATGAAAATACAAGAGGTAGTCTGTGAAAGACTAGTTGCACCAAGTGAAACCGGGAACACTCAGTGATTTACATTAAACTCCACTGATTTATCTTCAGTTCTTTCACCATGTGTGAGAAGTAACAGTCACTGACCATTTGGGAAAGGATCCACTGAATTTCAGACCTAAGTATCGACACATTTCATTATACAGTATTAAAAAATTATGTTACTGTTGACCTCATCATCAGGAAAGTCTCTGAGGTTTAGGAAGCTGCCGAGCTCTGAGGTTTTCCAAAATTAGATTTTTGCTTGAAAGCTGAAGATTTATCAAATGCTATTAGTTGTTTTTACTTGAAGTAACAGGCATATTTTGGTCAGGAAAATCACTGCCAAATACCTAAGACTGAATAAACATAGCCTGCCAGTTCTTTCCAATAAAAAGTGTTTCGTGGAAAGAGTGGCTAGTTCCATTCACAGCCCAACTTACACCAGAACTTGTCCTCACCTGGCATGCTGCTGTGGGCCTTTAAATGCACTTTCTATTTCATTACAAAGACCAGTGAGAGTAAAAACGGTAAGTAACTTGACTGTTTCTACAACATATTAGTGAAACTTTTTAAAAAAGTGAACCCGAGTGAATACATGGTGGTGACTTAAGCTTGATGCTAAGCAGTTTTACTCACCACTACCTTTGTACCAACACTGCAAACTTCAGAACAGAGAACAGTGTTTTAGCTTCAAACTTGTGGACCACCTGAAAGTCTTCCACAACCTCCCCTGGCCACCCCACCCCCTGATCTTTGGCTAACACTTTGAGAATTATTCTAAACCATGAAACTAATGATCATAATTCCCTTAAATGAATTTTGAAAATTTGTGATAGTCATGTCTGTTCAAACTCTTTATGTCTACAGGCAGTCTATAATTGAAAAGCAGAGCATAAACATTTTAATACAGGCTGATTACAGAACAGACAAAAGCAACCACACGTACCTTAGGAGAAGAGATCTTTACATATACTATAATCGGGGCCAAAGAAGTTTTGCTAAGTTGAGCTGGATGATTAATAGTATCCGCATCGAGGACAACCAATTGCAGTGTTCTTGCAAGTTCAAAAATCCTTTCAATTTCACTCTGAACTTCAGCTGTAAAGGTTACAGTTGTAGTTTTTTTAGACCAAGTTAAGTAAAATGGCACATAGAAACAGTGCTCAGGTTAATATTTACACTGGAGACAATAAAAGATATCTTTGGAAAGGGCTGTTTCTCCACAGCACCTTGGACTTTAGGGAATTCCTCTCAAAGTTTACTTATATGCTGACCTTCTGTGAGAATTAAAATTTTGGCTCTTGGCTTCATTTTTGCTATAAAACTTCACTCTATAGAATCAGTTCCTAAACATGTTGTAAAATAGTAACTTAAAAGATGCTCTTGGTGTGTTTTCCATTGCTTCACCCTAGCAACCATCTCCAGGTAGCTTTTCATTGCATAGGCTTATCTGTCATGTATGGGTATGATGTGATAGTCCTGATGTCTATTAGCAAACTGAAATACAACATAAAACGGGACACGTTGAAGGTTCCTATAACAAGCTTGTCCCAAACACACTTCTCATTTTTCCACCAACAAAGGAATGGTTCCGCAATGCTCATTTTTTAAAGGTGCAATCATTATGGAAAATGGCATATAGGTTCCTCAAAAAATTAAAAAAGACCTATCATACGATTCAGCAATCCCACTTCTAGGTATTCATCCAGAGAAAACAAAACTCCAACTCAAAAAGATATCCACACCCTCCCTCAACCCTGAAAACACGCATAGTGAAATCATCCTGACATTAAAGGACAAATACTTGTATCAATTTATTGAAATATCTAGAAGACCCAACTATCTGGAAACAAAAAGGAGATCAGAAGTTACCAGGGTCTGAGGGAAAGGGAGACCAGGAGTTATTCCTCTTTGAAGTACTTTTTAATGCTTAAAAAAAGTATTAAAAAGTTCTTCTAACACTTAAAAGAAGCTCTTTTTAATACTTAAGGCAAAAAACACCGGTACAATGAACTTGGAGACTTGGAGAAATGTGGACTTGGAGAAACACACTACACAGAAATTGGTTTAAAAGAAAATAAGCAGAGATTTACTGTTGGCATTTTATCCTCTTACCGCGCAATAAAATAGCAATAATACTCCCCATACTTAATGGATTTTTAAAACTACGGTTTAAAGAATACTTCAGAAGTATAGTAGAAAATAACATATTTGCCCTGGAGAAAGCACAAATATGTGTTGTACAATGAATGTTGAGTACCAAGCCATTTCCTGATTTTGCGTAAACACTAAAGGCCACAAAATCATGAGTTGGGGGGCAAGGTTGTTTTATGATTCATACAATAGTACAATAAATTCCTACTGTGTGCCTGTCTCTGGAGTATGTACTGGGGAAGCAATGATGAGCCAAAAGATTGAGTCCTGAGCTCACAGGGCTTGTAAACCAATTGGCAGAGACAGCCAACAGTGTATGCACTCGGTAAAAATAAAGTGACAGCTCTCCCATTCTTCCCATTGACAATAAGGTGACAGCTCTCAAGTGGCACAAAGTGTTAGACAAAGACAAAGTTTAAAAGCAACCCTTGAAAAGCTGTCCGAAGATCTGAGGTATCTGGGAAGAGAGGGAGGAGGATGAGAATAGGGATGGGGGGGAGAATACTATGGACTATGGTAGGGAACTTTGATGACCACAGAAATCCAATAATACAGTAAGCGAGATGGCTAAAACTTTGCCAAAGACATGACAAAGCTTGAAAAGGGCCTCATTTGATTAAATTAGTACATGCTAATAAACTGTCCAAGCACAGGTTTGTGATTTCACTAAATAAAATATGTATATTCTTTTTACCAATAAAACAAAAAAATTGTGGAAAATGGCCAGTCACGAACTTGATACTTTACTAATCTCAGCATGTACTCTATTAATCTTACACACACACTATCCTGAATCCGATTGTTGATTTAATTCAAGTGTCAAGAGGTTGGGGGTATACCTGCCATTTATGGAGAATATATACATTTAATCCCTGCTGCACAGGAAGCCTGTTTGTACAGTCTGTAGGCACCAAAGCTCACATTAGTAAAAACAAAGCATAGCCAAAACAATGTTGACAGCCTGAAAATTTTTAACTCAAACTATCATAACAAATCCTACCATACCATTAAATTACTAAGACTGGCACTAGCTACTGGCAACATGTATCTTTTTCTTCCCTGCTCTGTGTCTCATGGAATTAGCCTTAGTTGGATCTTCCCATTGGCAATCACAGACTGAAGTGTTTCAACAGCATGAGCTCACCAGTGGTGTGCAGACTTACCCAAGCTCGACCTTGTGTTGGATCTTTCTATTATTGCGTGCTTACTGGGATTGTTTAACACTGAGCGTTTGGCGAGTGAAATGTCAGCCGTGACCCTTGTGATGGATATCCTGACGGGAAAAAGTAATAGAAGATCATCACAGTAACTGAATAAACAGAAGTCCATGCCCAAGACTCATCTAAGGAAGATTATATAACACACACACACACACACACACACACAATCTCATATATAGTATTTTTAAACCCCAAACAAAAAAATGTTATACTTAGTACTCCTTTTTTGGGGGGGAGGGGTTCCCATCCTGCATCTACCTAAGTTGGCATCTATTAATTTCTTACCGAATGCTAAGCATGTACTAAGCATTATCTCATTACTTGAATTATCTCATTAAAACCTCCCAAAAACTAGCAAAGAAGATTGTTTTTATCCCACTTATGCTCATGAAGAAAATGAACCATTGTAGGTTACTTATCATAAAGCTATCTATTTACTAAAAATGGTAAGGTTGGGGTTTGAACCCAGACTGGCAAAAGCCTATATTCTTAGCCTCTGTACTATAATCCTTCTTGTAAGGGTTTGTGATAGGTTTGAAAAAATAACTAAAAACAAGCCAAGCATGGTTTCCTGAAGAGGGCAAAGAGTCTAGTGATGGGTAATAGCTAAAAATATATATTAATAATTAAGATGACAGCTGGGAAGGGACATGTGGGGTCCTGAGACAGTAAGTTGCTGGATCGTTTCACTTAAGGTGGATGTGAGAGCAACAAAATTTCTAAGTTGTGCAGAGGAAATGGTTTGGGTGGTAGTTGACAAAGTTCCGCACAAAGGTGAGTTCTTATAAATACCATGGTACTGGGAGCAAAGACAATCTGAAAGTTCCCCAAGGAAAAGAGGTTTCACATATAGTGTCAGGAATTAAAATGCTCTGTACCTCTAATAGAAACAACAGATGAAAAGATAACAGAATACAAAGCCTTTAAATCTTCTGAGGAGAAATCTAGTGAAAATTCCATAACCCTTTTAACTAGTACTTGAATGAGTGTGTTGATTATAAATTTTTAGACAGGCAAGATCTCAAGGTTTTAGGGTCTTTTTGTGGAAAGTATTGGAAGATGGTGGTATTTAACCTGACAAGATCATACCTCAAGGAAGCCAATGGACTAGGAAAAGGAGGCTCCAAATCAAAAGGAAAATGTCCTGGATAATGACAAAGGATATCCCAGAATGACTATGCATCTAGCGTGGAGAGACACTGGAACAGGCCAAAGTGTCCCCAGAGAGAGGCCCAAGAAGACAAAGTTGAGGGACTCCCAGATGCATTTCAATACCTAGTAAAGAGACTTTGCCAACTGGGGAAGAAACCAGAATGGTGTGAAATGTATAAAAAATTGAGCAAATGTACAATTATTTCTCATGAGAACCCTAAAGAAAATACACAAGAAAAAGCAGTTACTGTGACATGGTTCATTTGAGGTTATTATACTATTGCATAATTATACATATGCAAATATATAATTATGCAAGTTATACAGTTCTGTATCCACCATCACATTCACGATACACTAGATCCATTTCCTGTCCTCCCCCTCCTCAATGCTCTTTTTTATCCTTTTGTTGTCAGTCCTCCCCCATGACACCCTCACAATCCCAGAGCTATTTTCCATCCTTATCATTTTGTTTTTCCCAGAATATCACCGTAGCCTTTCACTTTGCATTAGAGATTAGTGATTCATCAACATTGTCGTGTGTATGAGTAGTTGATTCCTTTTACTGCTGAATGGGATTATATTTTGAAAATAATTTTTAAGTTTTTTTTCAATTTATGAAAATTTTTATTTCAAAAACTAGCCAGAAGACACTAAACCCATCATTTTAAAAATATACTTTTCATGACTGCACAGTGCATTCATAAGTAGACCCAACCTAAATTAGGAATAGCCAGTGCTTAGTAATTGTTTTAAAATGTTTCTATTGGGGGGCCAGGGGAGTGGAATGTAATAATGCAATCTGGGAGGCTCCAGCTGGAATCGCCTTTACACAGCATCTGCATGGCAGGAGAGGAAGTCATTCATCCAGCATGGATTGAACACGATCACTGTTTAGGCTGCTAGCATGGAATGTAAATTCTTGTGGGGTAGAGCTAGAGTGGAGGGAAGCAGTCAAACAGGTGTCAAATATTAGATAAATATTATAAAATAATGCAGAATGATGATGACATGGACTGGATGCTGTGGAAGGCATATTTTTGGTGTTCAGGGAAGTCCTTTCAGGATCCAACAGGTTGGGAGGAGACTGACCAATAGGACAGGATGCTCCCTAACAATCCATTGTTATTCTCTGCCCTCATGCTGTGCCTTCTGCACATGCTGTTGCTCAGCTCGGCTTCCACTGACCTGCCCACAGCATTCCCTTTGCCAATTATGTGAAGATGGGCCACTATCCTAGTTCCACTCTTGATGTTATATTCTGGGAACTGTCCCCATTTGGGGTGCTGCCGAAAAACATCTTGAAAATCCTAAGGGCAAAATTCTTGGGGACAACTTAGTTTAGAACAGTGGCACTTAGCATTGACAGTATATCAGAGTTGCCATAGACTCCATGAAAGAGCGCCCTAGAGATTTGGCTTCAATTGCTCACAGGTGACACATAAAGGCCTTGTTGTTTTTTTTTAAAACACTGCTGATGACTCAAATATGCAGCCACTTTAGAAGAAATCTCAGTCACATCAAAGTAAATTTCCCCTATGACAACAGATAGTGGCGTAACGTTTCCCAGGATGATTATTTCCGATAAGACAGCCTCACTAATACTCACGAGTGCACACACCCTACAGCATGCGGCTCAATATACATCTCCAACACCTGCATACCGAAAGCTGACATTTTCAGTCAGGGGAAGAAAACTGTGTTTATCATGGACAGTAGCTTTTCCTCGTGTCCCTTCAGCTGTCAACTGGCCTAGAAGGTGAAGCTGAAGATTGCTTTGTGCGTCTGACACAGCTGGTTCGCTGGTTAGGACACATCCGACTTTACATAGGCTACTGCACTACACACAGTGAAAGGAGGGTGATGACTTAAAGTCCCTCCTTGACCTGACACGCGGGTGCTGCATAACCATCCGGTTTGGGATGCGGACAACTCTGTCGGGCTTTAACAAATGAAACTAACTGGTTTTCAGAACAGAAGCAATCCTATCGAGAACCTTATATCACCAACACTTTCATATTTTTACCCTCTGGGACCTCAATTTTTTTTCACATAAATGTAATAGATAATTCAGGAATAATGAATAACATGTATATGAATATCCCTTGCATTTTGGATGCTCTTCCATCCTGGCCAAAAGCAAAGGCATTTCATTTTTTGGCCATGGGTAAAAAAGTTAACTTTTCACACGACTTTTAAAAATTCTGCCTTGATAATGAAAACAACCTAAATGGCCCAGAACAGATGAGTAGATCAAGAAGATGTGGAATACTACTCAGTGATCAAAAAAGATAAGCTCATGCCATTTGCAGCAACATGGATGGACCTCGAGGGATGATGCGAAATAAGAGGGAAAAAGATAAATATGGGACATTTTACATATAGCATGGGAGGGGCCGCAAAAGAAAGGTGTGCAGACAGGTCACTGGTGCTATGGTGGTGGGAGAACTACAGGCGTGTACTGAGGGGAGAAATCAATTACTACCCCCAATTAACAACAATGTAAGGAGATAAATAAGTCTAATTAAAACAATTCTGCCTGAAAGATCATATTACTTCCTTTCAGGATCTTTAATTGGTGGCCACAGTCCTAGACTGTTGAACTCAAAAGATGCAAGAGTCAAGATGAGCCAGGTTCATTAATGAAATCACATGGAAAATATGTCTGGCAAGAAACACGAGCTTGACGAAGCCTTCAGGTATGTTGTTCGTTTCTTAAATGAAATCAGTCTAGATGGCTGAACTTTAAAATGCAGGTCCAGGGCGCACCTGTGGTGGAATCTATCTCCCAAATTCAAAACGTACTCAGGTTTAAGTAGAAGGGGTAAGTCAGGAAATTCCATTTCATTTTCCCAACTCTGGCATTTAGGAAAGGGCAGTGGGCTGACTCAGTCATGGAAAACAGTGCCAAGTCTCACAGAGTTTCTGGGTGTGCACACTCATGTGGACAGTTCCAAATTGTGATAAGTCAGAGAGCCAAGAATAACAAAGCAAGAGCTAAACGGGCCTGATCAGAGGTATGCCTTTTATACGTGGCCAGAGACAGGCACTCTAGAACACAGCACAGACTCAAGGACCAAGCTGTGTTTCCTGGCATGTCATAAAACATTTCATAAAGTCATGGAAAACAAAATTGAATTCGGATCATTTAGTTAGGTAGACTTTGATTAGAAAGTCGTCTTTGTTTTCAACCCCAAAACAGCTTTTTTTTTGTCTCTCAGACCTCAGCTTGAGCACTAACAATATTTGCCCTGCTGTAAAGGTCCCTTCTTCACCCTTACCTCCTTTGCAAGTCAGTACAAATAAAATATGGTTGTAGGAGCAGATGTGATCAAAGGGAAAAACTCTTTCATGAAGAAATCTAAGAAAATGAGAGAGCAAGAAGGCACTGATTGAACTGAAGGAAGACTTTGCGGGGACCGGGTCCTAGGGGCCAGCTCAGGGTGTCAGTGTGAGAAGCCCACAAGCACCCTAGTGCTGATGAATTGGCAGTTGGACAGATGAGTCTCGATTCATGGGAGCCAAGAACTGCTATTTAAAAGTCTGATGCTGAATGATCACCAAAGGATTGAGTATAGGTAGAAAGAGAAGATGAAAGGACTCTGCGTGTTCTCCATGATGAGAGACACGCACCCAAATCCTACTAGGTGCTAAGCAAAAGGTGGGAAGGAAGCCAAGCCACATACTTTAAAGATACCACAATTTTTCACAAAGGAGACAAAGACTTTGCTGTGACAGACAACAAGCACGATAAACAGGTGCTGCCAGAAACCAGGCAAGTAAAATAGGTAAGGCACAATGTCCAGTAGAACTCACTCCTGAATTTAGCCACATGAAGGACACCAGTGGGCTGATGAAATTAGTTGTGGTTGTGTGATGGGGGGAGTGTAACAGGAGGAGGTTCAAGAGTGTGAGATCAGGGCAACTTGTTCAAGGAGTTTTGCTGTAAAGAATGGAGAAATGGTACAGCTGGAGGGGGATATGAGGTCAGAGGGAGACATAACTACATTTTTACATGTAGAAAAAATTGCCATTAGAATAAAGCTTACTGATAAAGAGAGTGGAAAGGATTGTGGGTCGGGGTGTAGACATTAGCCAAGTGGGTGTGGATCTAATTAGCCAAGTGAGTGTGTTGGCCACTGGTAGGACAAACACTAAGAAAAATCAACATTTAGGCTGACACACATGGACAAAGAAGTGATGGTGAAAACTCTTGGAGGTTCTTCTGGCTGCCTCTGGTCTCAATCGAAACAGGAAGCATGCTCCCTGGGGGACACTGAGACTTGGGGTGTTACAAGTTGGTGAGAGAGGAGATGGTGGAAGAGTCATTGAGAAGACTAAAGCGAATGGAAGGGGATAAACTAAGTGCGTTCTGGCCTGTGCTGAGGCCCAGTCGAACCTAAACTTAGGATGACACAGCCCAGATGCGGTCCAGTTCAGCTAACAGATGCAGGTACAGCGGTGGAGAGGATTATCCAGGCTGAAGATTTGTTGTAGCAAATAAGACAAATATTTATTGAGTGAGACTGAATGGCATGACCTGTTGCCACCATACAGATTCCAGTTTTCTCTAGAAATCAAATCCCATCCCACCAGGTTTTGTCATCCCAAGATGAAATCCACAAAGCCCAGAAGTAGGAAATACTCACCGTCCTTCGAATCTGTGTTTTAAAAAATCAAACAGTGCTTTCTGCATCATATCTGTGACCTACAATTGAGCAAGCAACACATTAAAAACATGCTAAAACAATTGTACTGCTTTTGAATTTTGGAGAAAGGGGCACTCAAGGTCTCCACAGTTTTCTTTTACTAAATTCAGATACAATGACATTTAAAAGGTTTTCTGGACTTCTCCAGATGTTTCAATCTCTATTTGATACTATTTTCAGGGAGGCATAATCTCCAGGGGAACAGCCAGGAAGACAAAACAGGAAGCAATGTCTACCGCATAGCTTGAACAACTCACTTTTCTCCTATGAGCTCTTTCAGCTCTAAATTCAAAAGTCAGGTGAGGGAGGCAGTCACAGTAGCTTACCTCATAGCCCTTCAGGGAAGGGCCCACCAGGACCACTGGCCGCATGGAAGGTACCACATCATAAGGAGGTGTGTGCTCTGTCTGCAGAGAGAGGAGAGGCCTTCAGATGTGTAACAGGCAGGAGAACCTCAACATTTCATGTATAAACTGCTCTTTCTGAACCCTTTCTGCAGACTTCCTAGACAAATCAATTTTTTTTTTTTTTGCTTGACTCTTTTCTAAATAAACCCAATCCAAGACCGGTGGGTTTATTTTCCTAAAGTTTTCAAGATCCTAAATTATCTAGCATTTCTTGCTCTCCTTGAGAAGCTTGTGATAGTAGTGTCTGAAGCAGGAGGTGCTGCTTTTGAATAAAAACCAGCTTGGAGAACAGACAGAAACATGCCTCATGCAGAAGGTGTGTCAGGGTGGGTCAAAGGTTAATGCCGATTTTCAGATGCATTTGAGCTTTCTGAAAAGCCTAATGAACAGACCTAGCGTGATTAATTATAGAGGAAAGAAAGGTCCTGTTACCTTGGTGTCTAGGAGATTTGTCTTACCTGGATAAAACTAACTTCAAAACTTTTAACTCTCATTACCAAATACTTGAAAGTTCCTTTATTACTGTGAGAGTTTTAATTAGTATGCACAACCTAATTAAAATTCCAAGCATGACCATGTTCACTATTTAGTGATTAATGTTTTGGGACTTTTGCTTTCTTCACCTCAGAACTTAAAAACTTGGAAGGATAAAACTTGCCTAATAATATACGCAAGTAATCTGCAGGGCCTCAACAACTTCATTATCAACTTGCACATCTAATATGCATCTCTAGAACTGTTCAGGTGGTGTTTCTGTTACATCACTAATATATGTCTTTCCACAATAACATTTCTTTATTGGAAGAGGAGCATTAGTAGCTAAATTTTGAGGCAGTTTCTAAAAACATTCAAAATTTCTTGACGACTTCAAATGAAATGGTTAAATTTTTTCTAAAGACTTAAACAACAACTAATTTGTTTGGTTCTATTAAAATTGGCTCTGTTCATAACAGGAAAATGCTAAAATGATGAAAACAAGACCATTTTTATCACAGAATTGAGAGATAAATGCTGGGATAAATAAGTCATTGTCACATGGGTCTTTCTGTATTTAGCAGAGTATCTGAAAAAATGCTTTCAGACTGAAAGCAAAAGAGACATATTCCATAAACTAAAAAACTGATAAACTAACACACAAATGTGAAAACAACTTGAGGCTGTATCTTGAGGACATTGAACCTGAAATTGCTCATTTCCAATGGAAAAGCTTCCATCTGAGATTTTACCAATAGTCACAGACAATGCAATCGGAAGGGAGAAAATTTTACTGGGACTGCTCTGTCAAATTTTACTGCTTAAAATTTTACCTAGTTTTCAAAATTAATTTTAATGGACACTCTAAAGGCAAAATACATTTTTAAACAGAAAAAAAAATTAGACAAACATAATACAGTGACAGCACAAATGCCACACAAGCACCACTCTAAAAGCAATCTAAAACACGGAAAACAATCTTTTGCTGAATCTCATGTCATTTTGTTTCTAAAATCTACATTGAAGTTGACCACATCATCGATAACATAAGAAGAATGAATACCAGTGCCGAAGGCATCATAAGCATATTCAATCTATTACATTTATACCACCTAGGATCACACTGAAAATGTTTAGAAGCCAGGCCCTTATAACTATGCAGCATAAGAATGCCTTTGCCACTGTTAAAGTAAGCAATATAAATTGCATGCATTTAGTAGCAGCTACCAAGAAATTGTATTTCACGTCTTCAAGTATTAAGTGGCCCGGTACTGGTTAGGACTTTGGTTCTTTGGACTGCCAACTAGCCAAGGGTCACCCATGCTGGAAATCAATCAGGATCTTAATAGGGTAACTACAGAAATTACCTTATTTGATGGAATATTGGTGCTTTGTGCCCTATTAATAATGACTCTCTTATGACCTATACTGTCCTGCTCATCTTATTTTGTTCCAATTGGTGGGAAAACATAGGATAAACATTTTTCAAGTTTGGGGATTTAAGAGTAAGTAAAACTGAAAAAAAAATTTATCTTGACTAACATGGGTTTTGGTTCATGTTCCTGCTGTGTCAAGTTCAAAATGGCTCAGCAATGCTGATTTTCTGGGCTTCTGTACCATGAACATTGTCACTTGGCTGCAAGTTTTAGCTGTGATGAGGCAAGCGGACCAGAGAGATGGGTCCATGGTCGTGGATGAACCTCAACTGGGACTTCTGGGTTAACACACAACCCATGTGTTTTTGTTGAGGTCTTCCAATATTGAAGTTACCATATATGGTTCATTAAAAAAAAATAACTAAAACTTCTCAGTTTAATATCTGACACCTCCTTGATGACTTAAAAGTTCCTCCACATAACAAGATACTTAGATGCAGAGGACAAGGAAGGGCTCAGGCCATTGAGAGATCAGGGCAGAGTTGACTTCACACAGTGTGTCACGATTTTCCCAGAGCTGTGCCAGACTCAGTGACATGGGGAAGGGTGACTCAGAGACAGCCTGGGAGGCTGTGGAAAGTGGGGTGTAAAAGAAGGGGAGGAATGGAAGCTGAAGGTGGGTGGGGAGGTGGAACCTTAAAAAATACTGCTTTATAGCTGCTTAGAGGAACAGATTAGGGGATAAAGCGAGCTCAGGAATACCCCAGTTTCCAGCCAGGGAACAGGGAGCATCACTGGAGCATCTGGTGGGCCAGTGGCAAAGGCTGTAGGCACGACCACTGTCCCCTTGGCCAACAGGCAAGATGTTGAAATCTGACTGATGGAGGAGGCAAGAACATGGGGAGGTATTTATAGATGACAATAGGAAAAACTCACAGTAAACGCCAAAACAAGCCTGCAGTTTTCCACTGGTCTTGTTCATCTGCAGATTTTGCACCTAGTGGATTAGAAGTTTAAATACTGACTAAATTAAAAATTGAATTTTTTGGTTTGTTTTTAGTACAAGCTATGTATCTGGATATCATCAATCAGATTCTAATAATGGTTTACTATGCTTGATTATAAGTTAATTTCTGGAAAAAAGAAAAAGACAGACAGACAGAATAAGCATGCACAGTAGAGGTGCATTCTATGGAGTGGTCAGTGTTTGACACCCCTGAATATTTAAACAAATTCCCTGGGTGGTAGATATTATTCCATCAAAAAGGATAAGTACTGTAATGGTGCTGGAACAGGTCACTCACTCAATTTAGTTCGTTTGAAATGCATGGACTCAATTAGCTGTTTGATAGGTTCTTTTCTTAGGACATAAATGATTGCAGCTAATCAAACTGTGGGCTTTAATGCTAATGATGCCAGTGGCAGGATAAACACAGCTTATGTCAATGTAAACTTACCGATTTCTGCTTCTGCTTAGCTACAGCAGCATGGAAAAGAAACAAAGAATAACAGAGCATGCATGTTATTGGCTTGTCAAAGGACGCAGACAGTCAACAGGACTAGAAATGTGACGCAGTGCAGTTGAGCAGGTTGACAGATGGGAGCTTGGAAGTTAATGTTACCTTCTTAAAGAAGGGCATTCTTTTCTCTTTGGAGTGGGGTGACGTTACACTGTTTGCACTGGGCTTAGGGGAGCGGTGGTTTGCTGGAATATCATTTTCTTCTGCATCTAAGCCAGTAGCATCTATGTCTATAGCTATATACAGACAAACAATTCAAAAATCATCAGGTAGACAGGAGAGGAAAAACAGGTTATAAAAAAAAATAAAAATGAAAGCAAATTAAACTAACCATAGCAAAAGATCCTATCATGAGTATTCAGCACAATCAACAAAGTAAAATTCAAAGATAAAGCACGTGAAGAATGCAATGCAATCAAATCTAAAACTGCAAGAGCCCCTCAATATCTGTTTGCTTAAACCAATGCATTTTATACAAAATCTTACATATTTTAAAGAAACATTTTGAATTTGCAGTTTTAAATGCATTACTGCTACTTTCCACATTATCTGTATGTTAAGTGCAGCACAGAACATTTGGCCTCACATTCTACTGTCTTTCAAACCAGCTTTTAGATAATAAGCAACTACACCGGAAACCTTTATCACAGTGTGACTCCGATTTCTTCTTTTGCTTAGTTGTGTTGGAACACAGGGCCATGTGAAAAGGTTCACTGGAACTGCAACAGGTATGTGAGGGACAGAGAGAACAGAAAGGCCTAGGTTGAGGCAAAGGAAAGGGGTGGTACATGAGGCCAGTGATGCAGGGCAGGTTGCAGGAGAGATGGGTTTCGGCTATGGCCTGGGCACCCTCGAAGGCCGGCGGAAGACTAATTAGGAAACGCTGACTCAGATCATCTCCCAACGAAATGACTCTCAGAAAATGAAGTCAGTCTTCAATAACTTATATAACGTTCCTGCATTTGACATCAGGTTAGGGAGGTACTGAGGACCCCCCTCCCCCCCGGAGGGTGGGCTGTCGCCCTGCTTGGTGGGAAGCGACAGGCTTAGGTTCCTGGACCCTACACTTCCACTTTTAAAATTGTTTGACCTGAAAATACAGCACCTAAAGATCAAGTGTTGACCACGATATAGAATGTCATCTTGAAGATAACTTACAATTGCTATCAACCCTCTCATGTTTATCATTTAAAAGACAAACTTTTACAGAGTGCGAGGGACTTGTTCTCTGTCAAATCTCAGCAGAGTCAGGACTCCAAACCCAGTTTGGTGAGTCTGTACCCTTGTCCCTGACTGGGGTGCCTAATCGGGGAGGTCTCTTCTCGACCTTCTTTTGTGTCCCTTGGCTTCCCGAGTGGGCTTTTGTCCCTGGTAGCAAGACTCAGGAAGATAATCATAGAATTGAGATCACTAGAAAATTTTCCTGTGGTTTAGGTAAAGTCCAGGAGAAGGAAAGAAGAAAATCTATTCACCCCAGGAAAACATCATATGCAATTTTGTTATCTCTAACAAGAACCACAGCACATTCAGATTTAAAGAACCAATTGCCATTGTGAAATAACAGACAGCTTAATGATGCAAAACCACTATCATCCTTCGTGCCGCACACGCTGGGCTGGCTCCCTCCCGACAGCCACTGCTGACCTTTTCAGATGCCAGGCCGTCCACTGGCAGGCATCGCATTATTTTTCAATTTTGAAGTTATTATGGGTATTAGATGACTAAGCCTTTTGGAAACTAGGATCCCTTGTTTAATCAGTCCCTTTCATTTGATTAGGTCAAAAATTCTTGAAGGAGCGAATATGGCATTGTTAGCAAATATTGCAAGAATCAGCTCTTGCTTACATAAAGATGAGGTATGATCTTGTTTTCTCCAGTGAAGATAATAATGGCTAGGGTTAATTTAGTTAGGCTCACCTAGTAAATAGGTCTTTTTCTTTGTCTCATCTATGCATATTGCTAGCTAAAAGGCTCAGCACATGGTGTGCAATGGAATCATCATAAAGTATACCCAGGGTTTTGAATCAGAGCTGGCTTTCACTTTCCCTTATAATGCTTTTCCATGAATTCCACTTTAGGAAGCATGTCATTAGTGTCTTACTGGATATGATGGAAAGAATCCAGGTCACTTTTTCATTGTTCTTTCAGTATATTTTCACCAACATTGAATGTTTCCTTCCAAAGGTAAATTCCCACACACCTCTATCTTTTTCAAGTTTTCCTGGGTTTCTAAGGGGCTCATTCAGGGGACAGTACCTCCCCAAGAGTCTTTTGGAAACTAAGTCCACCAAATTGTCTGTCAGAGTTGACAGGACCCTTTGCCTGAGATAGCAAAGTTCATGGATTTGATTTTATGATTTATTCATTGGATCTGGTCTGCTGTGATGTGTGAATAGTTTTTTTATTTTTATAGAAACAGAAAATGTGTAAGAAGTTTAGTGGTGACAGTGCCTACCTGCTCAGCTATTCACCCACATACCCTAAAAGTCAATTTCAGGTTTGAAATTTTGCTGTATTTGGGATACCAGGGCTTGAAAACCCGACTGACTACTTTCTGATGTACTGATTCTGGCTAACTTAAATCTAAAAGCATTTATTCTGAAATACAGGAATTCTAAAACACTTGGCCACTTTCAAAATGCATTAAAGAAATTTACTAAGAGAATTAGTAAATCTTACTGTTCTGTAAACTTTATCAGACTCAGATTGTTCTTCTTAAATGGAGAGATTTTAGCCCCTTTTAATTACATTATTACAATGGCATACCTTGACAAACATAGTATCTTGGGGAAAACTGTTCTAAATTTGGAAACGGCTTATTTTTTCTCACAAGCATACAGTTTGTCTTGATCGAGAACCATGGAAACATGTCCTTGAATTTCAAGTTTAATGTAATCTTCCACTGTATGCAGTTGTGTGGACTTCAGGGGTGACAAGTGTGTGGACATGCATGTGGGCTCCTATGCTGTTAGACAGAAGTGAAGTGGGAAACTTCCAGATTCTTTAGAATAGCCTAGTATATTTAGAGTATATTTACTTTAGGCACATTAGTCAGGTGACCTGAATTGTGGAGAGGGCCTCTGGGAAGCAAAGATATAGACCAATCCACATTTGCTAGGTTAGATAGTTTTCCCTGGAAAGGTGTGTGTGTGTGTGTGTGTGTGTGTGTGTGACATCTGAAGAATTTTCTCAACTTTTGCTTTAGAAAAGATGTGCTATTGAAATGAAAATTACAGCTGGATCCTGATGTACTTTATAAAATGTTATAATTGTTAATTTTCTCACTGAATCACTAGTGTTTCCCTACTTTTGGTATTCAAAAAGTCCTGTAATTATATGAAACTTCGGCAAAGTTCTAAAGCAGCCTTATTAAACTCTTAATTGAACTGCATTTTTCATAATGACAAACAGCTGGCTACAAAAAGAACTGTTATTTTACAAATACACGAACTTCGACTTCAGAATGCATGTGTCTGCCCTCAGTACACTGCCGAATGCTAAGCAGCGGACTGCAGGGCTACAGGGACTAAGGTGTGTGTCCCTGGGCTGTAGAGCGGGTGGGGCTGCTGCTTCGTCACATCACGGCGTGAGGCAGCATCTTCCCATTTCAGGAGCCTAATCACAGTTCTTTGGACTCCCTGAGATAGTATTTAATATCCATGCAAAGAGTGTAAGGCTTAACCCATAGTACCTGCACTGCAATCATGTGAGAAGCAGAGACAAACCTGCTTTCCCCAGTACATGCAGGAAGCTCCACTCCCCACTTATCAAGAAATAAGCCTTACATAATACTTAAAAGGGTTTCAATTTCCAACTTTCTTTACTTCATTTTGGGACAACTGAGAATTACTGCCAGTTATAGGTCCATGATTTTTTCTGAGATCACTAGGTATCCTAAAATTACTTCATATTGTTCTCAGATTTTGCTCACTTAAAACATCCTGTAATTCTTACTAAGAAGTTCTTGATTGGTCCCCATAGGCTCTCAACTTCCAGGAATGAGGGGTGGTCACTGGTAAAAGGGAGACTCTGTCCTTAGACACATTGTCATATTGCAATATGTTCCTTAATTTCCCCCAAAGAAGCACAACACTGTCTTCGATCTCTTCCCACTTTCAAGTCCCTTGAAGTCACACATGGAGACATTTTGCTGGAACCCTCTGCTGGTCAACCTTGTGTCATTACGCTGACTCAATTTCATGTCTTAAAGGCAAAGTAAGACTCCAAACCTGAGCTTTCATACAATTTGACAAGTTGTTCTCCTAGATTTCTGAGTTCCCAAATTGTAGGAGTTATCAGAATGAGCAAATAAAACTTCAGTTAAATCTGAATTTTAGATAAGCAAATTTTTGTGTGTAAGCATGCCTCATACAATACTTAACTTATACTACCAAGTGATTTGTTGTTTATCTGAAGTTCAAATATAAGTTGGTGTCCTTTTCCACTGCTTTGGAAAGGAAACAGGAATTATTCCTTCTATAAGTGCTTTTCCTGGTTTTGATACAGCTGCACACCCCAATGTCTTCCATGGTACCTCTCAGGTAGAGGCCACGTCAGACCAATCACTCCTTGCCACCTTGTTCCTCTTTTCTCACTTTTCTGAAGTTTTAGCTTCTCTTTTTATTGGACATGGAGTCCAATATCTAAACATCACATTATAGTTGTTGGTGGACACTCACCCATTTACTATCATGACAATGCCATGTGGAAGAGGTGATAAAGTTAAATACATTCCTTTGATCAGCTATAGCAAATTACTGTGAACACATTGACATGCATATTTATGTTTTAATCCAGAAAAAAAATTCCCCATCTTGTTCCAAACTCATATGTACATTATTTGTAAACACTTTTCTCACTTCCAGGGTTAGCATAGTGATTCCTGTATGCAAACTCACACAATTAGGATCTAGAAGGAATGAAATGCAATATATACTGCTCAGCAGTTACCACTTACTTACCAGATGATGGAGGTGTAGATTTTCTGGAACTAGGTACTATGTCACCCAAACTAGATGATGAGTTGCCTCCTGATTTACTGTAGTAAAGCAAAAAGTTATATTAAATCTGATACTTATTTCACATATTAAAACATTTATATTGCTCAGTAGACCTTGATTACTCATTGAGTCTTTAATGAACCTTAAATCTACCTTTCCTATAAGGAGTCAAATAATAATTTTCCATTGGGTATGGCTGGCTTTCTTGAAACAGCTGTTTCAAATTAAGGTTTAATTTTAAGAGGCCCTGAGAAAATGGAAGAGAATTAGGGCAATTTCTTCAGCCCTCACATTTTTCTGCCAGGATCACACAGATAACAGCAGAGCTTTCCTTTCCTTATTATTTTAGAGACCCTCTGAAGCAAAGCACAGAACCTGAAGGTTAACACCAAACTTATTGTTTCCTCTTTTTTGATTCAGATTCCTTTTATATTAGACTGAAAGCACTCTAGCTTTCATGAGCAACCTATAAAAGAAAAGCACAGCAATACCAAAACTTACTACCCTTTACAAGACACATGAAAGAACAGAACATAGTGTTATATGAGTTCACTCCCAAATAGTATCTGGAACATTTCTCCAGCTTGGCTAATGTGGAGGATTTAAACTGGCTAATTTAAAAATGATTCGAAGAGCATATACTCAGAACTACCAGATTCCAAAGTTGGATAAAAGACATACTTCAGTGTCTTAGAGATTTTGGAATGAATATTAGAACAATGCAAGTATGTTATTATTTTTTTTTTACCAGACTACCAGCATGCTAAATAACATAATGAAATGGTCCCATTCACACACAGCGATGGAAAGGAACATCTCAAAAAGCTGATAGGTATTTTGCAAGACAATCTTAATTGCCTGTCTAGCCTTTATTATCATGGCCAAGCCAGGGTCTAATTGAAGTAATTTTTAACATGTCTGTGCATCAAAGGATAATATTTAAATAAATATCAATATGAAAATAGAAGTTCCACCAAAATACCAGTCGCAGGCTGAATTTTTTTACTGTTCTGGCATTTTAATACTTAAGACAGACAATCATCAAAAATTTTAAGCAGCCAACAGGAGGACTTTACATCATTTTAGGATTCTTAAGAATACTCCAGTACATTTAAAAGGATAGCAGGCAATATGTAAAAGTAATAGAAGTGATATTAATAGAAACTGTACTGGCAGTTATATAATACCCATTACCAAGACCAAAACATTTTCTTCCAAGTGTTTTTTTTTTTTAATCCTAAATCCAATTTCAGTTCTAGCATGGATTTGTTTTACATTCTCTTTGAATTTTAACAAGTCAAAGTATTATTTGAATTGTGGCAAATACTGCAAATAGCCAAAAGTTCAGAATGTAAATTTGCCCTTAAGTTTTAATTCTATAAAAATGCCACTTTCTTGAACTGTGTCCCAATTCTAATGCCTTTGATTTTTTTTTGTTAACTTTTATAATTTATACAGCAGAGTTTTCAAATATTGAACTCTGGTTATGTCCTTAAAATTGTATTTAATAGAAATGGGGGGGGGATGCAAAAACCTCTGAAAGCAAGTAAAACTATTTTGGAGTGACTTAGGGAAAAAGCTTGGGTAAACAGACAGGATCAAGTAAAATCAAGAAAAGTGAAAGAAAAATGTATACAGCTATACAAAAGGCTACATCCAGTACCCTAAAATAAGTTGTAAAGATGGCAGGCTCCCCAATATGGCTTATTTATACTTCTTTAAGGAAAAAATGCAAAAGCAAAAACAACATATCTAACAAAGTGACTAATAATGGATCCCTAGGCCTGGATCCATGTTTTACAAGACTGCACGCCAGTGCCCCTGGCTCAGGCTTTGGTCTGACCAACTGGGTTTTCCTCCTGGTTCAAACTGTGCAGCCTTGGTCAAGTTCCTGACGTTCTAGTCCCAACATGAGGTAGTTCTGATTCCTCATGTGTGAAGTGGAGACTACAATCCCTACTATTTTCAAAAGATCTTACAAAGTTGAGCTAAGCACTGATGCTAGTGCAGGACTACCCCATTGGGAAAAAGAAAACTTTTGGCAAAATCTTCTCCATTTGTGCTCTATGAGAAATTCTTTTTCTGCTCAGTGTCTGTACATAAAGAAGCAGGCATTTTCTGCAAAAATCCACCCCTAGTTTTCCAAAATGTATTCTATAAAAAAACAACCAGAAAGATATTGACCAGAAAGAGTTTTATAATTTAGGTACATACAAGAAAACCATTCCAATTCCATGACTCATATTCACAGTGCCTATCAACATATCAGAGGCTTTGAAAAAAAAAAATCCTACAATAACTGTCTATTATTCACACTATCCTAAACTTATTTGACCAGGGAGCCCCCTTCTCAAGTGATTTGGCAGGAAAACTCTGGAAAATGCTGTATTATCTGTAACAAATTAAAAAGCAAAACAAAACACTCCCCAGCTGAGAAACTTCCAATCTCACCAATGTACAGCCGACTTTTAAGCGGCACTGGTGAGAATTACTTTGGTTCAGTTGTATGAACTTTTTTAAAATAAATTTATTGTAATTCTTTTTTTTGAGATTTGCAATTATTTGAAAAAAAAAAAAAAAA